TAAAACATTCGATTTGCCAGGGACACATTAGCATGGCCGGCACGTTCGTAACAATAGCGAGAGACGAGAGTAGGCCCTCGGATCGGTCGATCGAAAATCGTCTCGTTGATTTAACAACTCTGCGAGCAGCGTATACACCCTCGCGGTCGCTTCCTCTCCTATCGTCGCTGTCGACAGTCCGCAACGGGACACGTCTCCGCTCGACTGGGACACGCTAATTACGCATTTGTTCAGAAATTTGCATGCGTTACGCCATCACACTGCTGCCAAGAGTTTACGTGTTCGCGTCGTAACGAATCGTTAGCAAACCGGAACGACCTGGACTCGATGATGTTCGATCACCGCGTGTCCCGCGTGTCCGAACCCGCTGGGTCACGAGCGGCACGTTTACCGTGCGTTTCTGGCCGAAATTGTCCCTATTGAAAATCGTCTCGTTAGAGCAACGATTCTATCCGACGCACCCTCGCTGAATCCCTGACGATTCTTTCCCTCTTTGATCTGCACTGTACTAGTCTTCGGAGGATTGAACGGCGCACGGATTTATTTTTCAGAAATTCTACACACTTACCGAAAGAATCGCTTTCCATTGTCTCCGGAGAGACACGATCCGTTGTTTCGAATCAACTGGCCCCGACTATTTATCGAGCAAATATTTCTCCGTTATTTTTCCATTTCCCTTTTTCTTCTTTTTATTGCTTTCCAATCACCGTTCGACATCGATCGTTCCCTTTTATCCGTGGGCACGACCGCGTTTCTATTGTTCCGACCGTGTTTCGTTCTCGTTTCACCTGCCTCCGACCAACAGCTAATTTACAGGGAACATTGGCTACGAGACATTTCTCAACTGTTGCGATTCGCAAGAAAAAACCTGAGAATCTCCTCAAATTCCATTACCGTATCGATCGGACGTATCAGTATACGCGCGACTTTGAAAATTTGCGAATTCTGTGATTTCCTATCGCGTAAGTTTTTAAACCGACGCAATCAGACGCCAGGCAATATTTAGTCTCGAAGCTAAAATCGCGGGGGTGGTTTCGCTGTCGAACGCGAAATTATAGGGTCGACGTGAATCCATTAATAACCGTGGGGGAATCAAGTGAAATTTCGACTGGCCCCGGTGTTCCGTTGCTGAATCATTCGCATGATAAATGAGGAGAAGCTTTTTGGAAAAGTAGTAGCCGTTTTAAGCGGCGCGACGGGAGAATACGTCACGGAACGCGACGTTAAAATATACACGTTACACGCGAACATTTAATGTACGCGAAATGGAAGCCGAATCTTTATTCTCTCGCAAACAATTCGCCGAACATAATATCCCACGTTACTCGTCCACAGAGATCGCATTACCAGATATCGATTCCATCCACAGGGTCGAGATGCTTCTCTTTCTCCGCACCCTTTGTGGCCCCCGCGAACCCTCGAACTCCCCTTTGCCCCGTTGTTCGGAGCCCGGGCTTCATTAACCACGGCACGCTAATTAATCGAGAGACGATGCCACGGAATCAAGATGGCACGAAACCGTTTGTGCCTACGCGGGAGAGCCCGAAACGAAAACTACCGAGGCGCCTTTGCGTCGCCGAACGATCTGATATATTCCTGCTCTACCTGCGATACACGACGCCCACTACTCTGCTCCCTTTCGTTTCAAGGTTGATCCTCCTATCTTATTGTCCTGCGATAGAAACAGTTACCAAATCCCGTCGACGTTGCATTTCGTCGCTAAAATTAATTACCCCTTAAAATAACCTATGTGAAAGGAGTATGGTTCAAAATAAAATCCTTGCAAGCTCCCCCGGTCTGGCGCATAAAAATTACTAAAATCTGTTAATGAGAAAATGAGTTGATCGATAAAGGAGCATGATGTGCATATTAACCGCAGGTAATAACGAGTGGAAGCTTTTTTGTCGCAAAAGCCGAGGACATAAACCTGGTACTCGTATCGCCGACTGCCAAGATTTTCCGAGGTAATTTTCACGAGTGGAAATGAAAAGGTCCACGTTTAATTGCGTTGCTGTCTGTCTGCATCGTTTGAAATACGAACAACGCGGGTTAAGCGGCCAATTAGAAACTGCATATGATACATCGCTTCAATGAAAACATGCGATATCTGTGAATAGCGCGTAATGCACATAGGTTCTGAGATACAATGGGGCGAGTCACTGATCTTCTGGCTACTAACGAGCGGCTTTTACAGATGATAAAACAAACAAACGTTGTTCTCGTCGACATTGGTGGCGGATTAACGAGCGTACGAATGTTTCCACGCGTGTATGCCCGTAATGTGCATAAACAACGTTCAGAGCAGAATAATAACCATTTTGGGACACTCAGCTACCATGAGCATAAATGTTATTCCGCGTAAATTGCACCGATTAGGCCGCTATCGATTCTTGGTAATTTATAATGACTCTCATTGGCGTAATTGGAATTTTTGCCTGGGGAACTCGTAGTCCTTAGTGCGTCGCAGTGATAATGATTAAACGGAGGCTTTGGATTTAGAGAACGGTGAGCTATTTGCAACTTTTACGTTTCGTTTTTCGCGAGGAATTTCGCGGAACGAATAACGCGAATATCGAGTCGGACGATAGCGGTGAACGAACAGAAGGCTGGCCATCGATCCATAAACAATATCGCGACGATATCGTTGACCCGTTCGGCGGGTGGAGAATTCTAGGATCGATCGATCGATCGGGGTTATGCGGGCCAGCATCCGTTTAATTGATGTACAGCTTCCCGATTTCAGGTGTACACCGACGCGTAACACGTTATCCGTCGGTGGTGGCGCGAGAGCGCTTCAAAGTTGCCGGAAATCGGATCGAGAGACCGGTCGTGATCGAGTGCGTAATTTGCATTGACGGACACGCGTCCGAGGATCGTGATTTCGCCGATGATCTATGGTAAAGTGCTTGCACCACGAAATTTTCAAAATCGTTTTCTCGATAACAATAGCCTCGGCATAATGGAAACCTCATTACCCCTATCCTCCATTTATTTCTGCTGCAAAAATCCTCTTCCATTGTGCTGTAACTTTTACACCGTTATTGACGCTTTATTTACATTATTTCGGAAAATTATCATAACTTTTTGAAACCTGACAGAAAAGGGATTAATTGATTGACCGACGGCGTGAAATGTTACATAATTAAATTTGTTAAATTATTAATAAATTTAGCTTGTCATCTTGTTAGAAATGTACGATGTTAGAAATCAGTGTTAGAAATGTACGGTGTTAGAAACAAAAATAATTGAAAAATGCACTTCCTTCTTGTTATTCATACAATGTAAACGTTCGCGATGTATACGATAAAGTAATCCCTGAATTATTAGTTAATCTTAAAGTTAAAATGTGTATGTATTTTCAATATTAAATAACTAGTTTGTATTTAAAAGTGTGTTACCAGTTTTTATTTCGATTTTCTCCGATCTTATTTAACAAAATTGATATCCAGTTCTATAATATTAAACTATGTCGTAAATTGCGATCAATTTCACTGCGATGCGTTAAGTCTCCTTTCCGCGAGTATCTGCATCATTAACGAATCCAATCGCGCTATCGAGTATTTATAAGGGCTCTGAATCGTGACTCATTTTCGTAAGAAATGAAGAACAAGATGAGATCACCGTTCACCCCCGATTCCAACCCTCGACGCTCGGGAATTTACGCTCGTTATTGCGTTCGTAGAGGCCACGCGCGTTCGATTATCCTCTAGGATTCCATTAATTGGATCCGGAGTCGAGTTACAGGTTTCTGTGTCCGACGGTGCACGATGTTGAGTCGAAACGATCGTAAGTAGTCCGTACTACGCGCGGAAACGTATGGTTTCTCGGCTTGAGAATACACTACCCGGCACTCGAGCGATGCCTGTTCAAGTTGCTCATCATGGTTCGTAGGCATAACAACGATAGATGGCTCGCTTTGTTCGCGATTCCTGGGAAGTTCTCGTGATTGTTTGCCGGGTTTTGATCGCGCTAATTGAACAGCGTCTTCGACGTCCGCTTCGCTGCACCTGTTCCTGTTTTTCATTCCTCTGCAACCCTTCTCTGCAAGACTTTCGGAAATTTTCTGATTCGAACGTTTGCAAATATTTGGCAACTTCAGCTCTTAGAACAGAATTCTACAGATAGAACAGCTTTAATGGAGACGCTTTACCAAAATTTTAAGCTGCTATGTTTGAAAAATTGTGACTTGGAGTATTTTCCGAGTAGAGTTGTAAGATCGTGGGAATTCGGAGGATCGGTGCAGCCCTTTTCCCCCGTAGTCCGTAAATTCTCCGTTTTCTAGGAAGAGTCTCGGACCTGTCCGGTTGGCCACAGTCTCGCGGTTTCACCGAACAGGACGTCTCTCGCTCGGTTTTCGGTAAAAGGGACTCGGAGGTAAGGGTCTAGTTTTTATTCCCGGTTGCGTGAACTGGCAATCTCGAGCTGGAAAGACGATCGCGGAATCTTAGGAGGAAAATCGCGCCGGGAACGATGCATCATCATCGTGGTTGGCTTTATTTCGGAAATTGTAGCGCGCGCGAAATAACGGGGCGAGGTAGAAGAGAATTCTGACTGCTAAGCTCTCGGCTGAATCCATTAGCCGACGCCATTAATATCCCTGTAATGATGAGCGATGAGCCACCGCGAGAAGAGTCCGCTCGCTGGTAAGTGCGTCGGAAAACCGCGTCGGAGGGATGATGCTCGACAAAGAACGACTTATACGCGAGCGTACAGAGGGAGGATCGCATCGAGGCGAACGTAGTCGCGAAGGAGAAACCTTTGATAAATGCTGCTTCCCTTGGACGGACGCCAAACGACACGTAGCACAATATTCCGGGGAACTTCTATTCCTCTTCTCGTAGCTTATCGATACCGAATGGCCAGCGAAAAAACCTGATCGATAAAGCGGTAGATCTACAACTTCGTGACACTGATACATGTTCAATGATAATTAGACTTTGCGCGATGTTCTTCGTATCGATTGGTAAAATGTGTCTAATGAAAATGTATAATGGTTGCAGATGATCGATGCGTCGTACCACACGAACCCATCGTTGCAGAGCACCGCGCTGATCATCACCTGTGCGGTGGTACTCCTGCTGATGGCAGCGATCGTGTCCGTCGTCTTCTGGAAGTGAGTATAACTCTAATCTCCTCTATTCGTACATCTTCGATCGATATTTGACAAGGGAAAGAGTAGGCGGATGTTTAAAATCCTCGGGATTGTCACTAGTGTCTTCGCGGCAATAAAGTCTAGGTTTCATTCCCGCCGGACGTCGTAAGGTGTTGGAGGTCCGAGGTCGTTCGGGTTGTAACTATATTTCAAGGGTTCGAGTGGCCATCGAGGCTCTCCCACGGTACGGGGGATAAGAAAGAAAAGAAACGATTGTAAATGGGGTTATACGGAGAGAAATGTCAGTCGCTGAATTGAAAATTTAGGTTATGTTTTACAAGTTTACACCCACAAAAATTTATAAACTGCCAGGTTTAACCACTTTCTCGATGCAAGCTCGCGGAAACGTGCCTATCTGTCTCATCGCGTTTTTATTACAACGCGGTGTCAGAATAGAACGCGGTACCGCGTAAATCTTCGAGCCACGTTACCACTGTAGATGCATATTTCTTCCTCGTACGAGGCTTGATCTCGTAGCGAGCTTACGAGGGCACAAAAGAGGGTGTCCCGGTGCAGCTACCGTGTCCATGTCCAGAGATTATCAGAACGCCGCTGTTCCGTCGTTGGCGGCGCGTAACACCGACTCGACGTACGCCCACTTATTCACTGGCCTATTTTAGTATGGTTCAGGAGCCACTGAACGAGTCCCTTCTTTCTACGGATCCTTTTGCACAAACCATTACAGCGTTCTTTACTCTTTCATTGGAATCCGACGGATTTCTAATAATAGCAAGTTGCCCTAATGAGTCTTTAGTTTTTATTCCCATGGGCCTGTCACGAGTAGTCACATAGTTGCTCCTCCGCTACTTTACCGTTTGCAACCTTGCTCACCGGTTGCTATTTTGCGTGCAACTAATTTCGTGTACATAGCAGGCAAAAAGGCATCGATCGATGAACTCTGTCCGAGGGATCGGCACTGGGCCAAGACGATTTTGGATCGCACAGAGGGCCGCATTCAGGATCCACGAGGCTCGTCGTATTTTTATCGGGACAAAGCTCTCGAAGGTCCACTAGTCGCAACAATGCCGGCCCTGTTTGACCCTCTTTTCGCTCGGTTATCGTAATAGCCGGTCATCATCGTTCTCGGTAATATCTCGAGCGTCGCTGCTTCTTGCATTCGCGCCTTCGCGATCGTTTCGCTCGATTTTTGCTCTGTTCGGGAATCACGGCTTTCTTGCTGCGCAACATCGTCGGTGAGGGAAGAACGAGGTTTTCGCGGGCTCTTTTTTAGCAGCCGCACACCGGATCAAACCAAATGTCCGCGCGGATAATTTGTTTCCATGGTGCTCGAGAGCAACGTCTGTTTGCACAACCGAGTCTCTGTTGTATCCCGTTTTTTCGGTTTATCGTAATAGCCGGCCATTATCGTGGCCCATAAGCACGGTATCTCGAGTGTTACCGCTCCGCAACACTCTGCTCAGAGTTGTCGGACTTTGTGGGTGGCATCTCTCTTCTCCGCGTTTCTTCGTTCGACTTCTTTCTCCTCGGGATGTTCGGTCCCGTGGCGGTTGCTTTCCTCGTTCCCCGATTCCCAAACGAGCCAAGACACGCTTTGCCCCGCAAAATCGTGACCGTTTAACGGGTGGTTCGTTCGTCGACGACGGAACCCCGTTATTCGTTAGAACGAGCCGTTTCATAATCCTGTGCCGAACGAGGATGAAAAATTGTCTCCCGACGAGCTGCGGGTTAACGCTCGGCCCGATCGAAATCTCGCGTAGCTTTTAATCACGATCTTGGACACCCCGTATTCGCGTGTTCTCGTCGATGCACAAGGCACACGCGCACCAGCGCCCGAACAAACGCGGAGAACCAACACGGCCACGCGTAGTTTGTATGCTAATCAGAGCCGTGTTCTCCCATCTCGGCGTTCTCTCGTACTCGTTCCATCGCCGTGATACACGCTCTTTCCCTCCCGCCTCGAACGCTATTTCCTGCTCGACTCGATGCGGCGACGTCGTCGCAGCCGTTCCAGGCCAATTCGCGATAATTCGACGTCGTTGTTTTAAACGGCCACGCGAACGGGACCAGCCGTTACCGTCCCGAGAACAGATCTCTGCCTCGCCAACCACGGAATCGGCCCAGCGCGACGGCTAATCGTTGCACGCGACAAATTGTGAATGGATGTAACGATACCTGGACTTGAATTATCGATCTGGGAATTGTTACAGCGATGTTATTATCGCGATGGGACTGGGAGGTGTTTAGAATCGATTTCGCACTCGTTCCTCGATTTTACGAGTCCCATTCGTATGTCGATCACGTGCGAACGGGTGTCAAAGATATCTCATAGGAAAAATTACGAGGGTTCACTCTGTTGTCCGAGCCATTGAAAGAACCTAATCTTCGAATTCCCACATTCTCGAATATCATAATCGTATTTACTGATCCTTCAACTCCGATCAATACAAGCGTTCTCTCGTCCGGAAGCGAACGTTTGAGGGACGATTGCTCCAGATATCGATACCGGAGAACCGGCCACAGATAGTCCCTCTTTCTCCCGTTTGTCTTCCTTATCCCCGACCGAGAAGAGAAACGAGCGAGCTTTAAAATCTAAAAGAAAATTCCTCCACGTCGAGAACTCCCGCGTGTTGCAGTAATCGAATGGAAATGGACGAAAAGTGGGATGAAAGCAGAATAAAGATTCCGCATTGCATTTTTTCCCTAGCGATGCCTCTTTCCTCTAATCTAACCTATATTTTTCACCGCTTCGCCGGCTATTGGCAGCTTTTGCGCCTTTCTGCGGTAAGTATTTCGTGGTGGTATGGATACGTCTAGACGGAGGTGTTTGAAACGCCTAGACGCCTCGATCCGACTGAATAGAAGCTGAATGGAGCCGGAAAACCGCGACTGTGCGCGGAAAAAACGCACCTGCCCGCCCAATATCGGTGGCGTTAACCTTTCGCGGTCTGACAATAAGTCTGACTTACCGTCTTGAAATTTGGAAGAGAGGTTTCTATTGCGAAATAACGAAATACAAGTGGAAGAGACATAATGTGTTATAATCTAATCGAACACGGTTTCAATCGAATCTCCACTATATTAACGTAAAACTCGCGTTCATTTCTTCGCGAGAATTTATAGGACTCTACAAGCCAGCGATCGTATAGCCCATTGAGTCGTTCGATGGAAATGAAATTAACCCTCTATCGTGCTTTCGCAGCTACCCTTCCCATTTCCGGAACGAGTCGTTTGAACGGCCACGGTTCGCTAAGCATCGAATCGCAAAAATAACGTTGGCCGAGTTAAACCTAACGATGTCGTCCATAAGAAAAAGAAAAATTTTTCACCCCAAACGGAACTACCTTTTCTTCCAGCGATGTTAATTCCAGTCTCCGGTTCGAATCGCTCGAAGTTCTCGATAATAACGATAAACATCCGCAGGGATATTCCAGGGAGTAAAAAAAGGACATTCCTTGCTAGCGTTCCAGTTGCTGCGGCACAGATTCCGGACGATGTACACCGGAAACATAGAATCGCGAGAAAGAGGAGCAGGATGAAACGGACAGGCTACTATTCCGATCCGCTTCCTTTTCCCTCTGTTTCACTCCACCTTTCTGGCCCGCACTTTGTCTCCGTAAGCCACATTCGGGTCACCAACTCAACGGGGGGATGCTTTAACGATCTGCATTGCATGAGCACTTCGCTTTTCTCTCATCCTCCATCTATCCACCTCGTTTCTCGACCAACTTTAACCATCCTCCTTCCGCGTCTTCTCTCCGTGACGCCTCTACCCCCATCCTACCAACCACCTCCGGCGTCGTCACAGTTTCGGCTTGTACACGATGCCTGACAAACAAGCCCCGGTTATTTCGTATGGCAAACAAGCGGTTACCGAATCCCTTTCCATTCCTGTTTCCGGTGACGGCCGTTTATTCGACGGAAATCCGATTACCCGCCTCGCGGAACGATACGACATTCACAACTTATATGCCATTTTCTCGCCAATTCTGATCTTCCTTGCGAACGATTCAACATTAGAAGAAAGGAAACACAAAATAATTTTATTGTATTAGAACTCGTGTATTTAGAAATTCGATCACTCGTAATTTGCAAGCTTGAGAAATTGCAAAACAAGTGTGTAATCATTCAGAAACGTTAAACTTTAGAAATTTTCGCCCTCTCGAAAAGAATGCCCCAGACGAAACACACCCTTTCTCCTTTGCCCCGTTTCGACTTAAGTCCGCAATATTCCAGTAGGTCACGAGAGACCCATTCGACGTTTGAACAATTCCAGAGTCCACAGAGGGTGTTGTAAAAAATACGGTGGCCCCAGAAGCGGGAAATTCGAAAGGAGCGGGGTGCGCGTACAATAGCTAGCAATTATGTAGAGTGGCCGTCGTCTGGCCTAGCTCTGCTCACCGTTGCATCTCCGCCCGTTACGCGTCTCGTCTTCGTCGGCTCGGTCGACGATGGCGTCGTTGCAGTCATTGCTTGTTAACGCTGTAGCTCGGCTGCCTTGGAAACGTACGACGTTTCCGCCTTCTTTCTTTCCTCGCGGCGGCTTCCTTTCTACGCCGGTGACATTGGTAAGAAGTGCACGCGCAAGAAAATCGCGAGATGCACTTACGGATATTACCAGAGAACGCAGCCGTTGTAAGAAACAAGAAGGTCGCCGCTGCGGCAGCTGTTAAAGGCCCTCCAACAGCCAGGAATTAAATCTTTCTAGCGCTCGCGGTGTAAATCCTGCTCGTGGTTTCGCGCTTTTATAGGATTTTTCAGACTGCTCTCGATTATTTTCTTTAAACGAAGTCTGCTTTGATTAAAGTCTGAGATAAACAATCAGTAAGCTTCTCGATTTTTATTGAAAATACTTTGATATCAAAAATTTGATATTAGCCATACATCGAAAATTCTGAAATACCGATAATGCGTATTAATCGCCCGAGAGCTTCGTATTTGAAATTAATATGTACCTTGCAATGATTCGATTGCACCGATACTACGTAAAATGTCAGCAAAAC